CGTTCATTCTAAAATATTAAGATGTGCATTGGTGCGAAGAAGTTATTTGGGAAACAGACAACAATTGCAGCTGCCGTATTAAATACTTAAAATAATTTCTGAGGAGACATTTATAGTTGAAAAAATGTGCAATTCTTTCACTTTGGAAGTATAATATTTTTCTCTTCCCAACAATATAGTGTTCATATTTTCAGCTACAGTGTCCATATTTAAATTTATGATTTTAAAATGAAAATATGAAAATAACTGCTTATTCATGGGTGCCGTGAGAGCGGTGCAAGGGAGTGCACTTGCACCCCCTTGAATTTAAAAATATAAGATTGAAATTTAAAAATATAAGATAGAGACCTATGGCGTAACTTAACTACTTGAGGCCCTGTGCGAATCAAAACCTTGAATCAAACATTTTTGAGCATTTAACTTTTTGAGGCCCCATAATACATAGTTCGAGGCCCAAGGCCTGTGTGCAATGCACCCTCTACACACCTAATTTTTGAGGCACTGATAGAGGCTGCTATTATCTTTATCAAATTTTCTAGTAGCCTACATTACTTCATAGACGTCGAAAAAAACGGAAATAATTTTCTAATGTTATACAATTTGAAAACGTATTTAAATTAAATAATTTAAATATTATTTAGAAATCAGCGTGTATAATATGTATGATGCATCCCCCTGACGAAATTCCTGGGGCGATGTTCATGTGCCTATTTACAATTCGGTGATTAGTCGGTAGCATTACATTTTACATTCTACTATTTAAGTTGACAAAATAATAAGATTGTTTACAATAACAAGAATATTGAGACCCTTTTGAGTTATACTTAATTTTATTTTAACAAAACAGACAAAAAAAAATAGCATGTAAGTAAGCCTTAAGCGCGTTACACACTACCTGATTTGGTCGGGCCGACAGGATAATTTGGTCAGATCAGACGTCATATCAGGTCGTGTGTAGACGTGTCGTCTGACTTTAATCCTGTCGGGTCTTGTCAGGTGGCCATACTATCTGATCGCCCGACCGACCGACCAAATCATAAAGTATGTAGCACTGTCGGGCGGATTTTAGTTGGTTTATTGAGGTTAACGTGATAACACGTGTGTGTACCTAGTACCTACTTCCAGTTTAATAACGGTGTTAAGACTGACTAAATCGTGTGGTGGTCGTACTGTGTGTACGCAACATCTGATTTGGTCAGGTATCCTATCGGCCCGAATAAATCAGGTAGTGTGTAACGCGCTTAAAAATTTAGTGATTTGTTACTGATTTTTAGTATGGTAGCAGAAGGTATGAATTGTGTTCTATTGGGTCCTAATCCATTCTTCATATATCAGGTAAATTTTACTTTTGAACCTTTTTCCAAGAAGCTAACAATTAATAATTATACAGATAAAAATTCTCCACAACCAATACTGTTACCGAGAATTGTTGTTTTGCACAAATGTTTAGTATCTTTTGATTATTATCTCCTGTATACAATATCCATATTTGTTAACCAAAAATAGATAGGTCAATAGCCTGTAGAATACATAGACCTTATACTCATAGACGGAACAAGCTAGTAGTTCCCGCGGAAAACGGTGGCTGCGCTGTACATCTTGGGCTTGGGTCAGTTCTCCTCATTGATAAGAGATAAAAATGATAAGAAAACATTTTATCATGAAACACCAACTGTTCGGAATCAAAATTTTTACTGCCAGGAATTTAACGTCAAAAAATTAGGCTATACTGTGTTTATGTATTTTATGTATTTAACGGTTTACTGATTAAATTTTAAAATTATAAATCATTATCATATTGGTTATTGTTTAAGACTATCACCTGCGATTATTTCATGAAAAAACTTTCAGCGATTATATTTAATAATAATCTAATAATAATAATTACTTAGTTTTGACTTATATGTACCATTCTTGAAGGATGTAATCAGTGAAAGAGGTCTTGATCATACAATTACAAAATCGTCAGTTCTAAGCATTTATAACAGTGAAATAATTAGGTAAATTTACTTTTATTGTATAATCATTGTTATGTGTATGCAATGTCAGAGTTATAAAATTATAACTCAAATGAAACTAATTATTTTAATACGCTTCTATTTTACTAGATATGTTAGGATTTGAAGATATTAAATTTTAATGATCTTTTCTTGTAGCATGTTTTATAATACTATTAAAATCATTATTTTATTATTAATATATTTATTTGTTAACAATTGACTAACAGTGTTCTTTAAATTGTAATTTGTAATTGAACTGTAATTTTGGTAGACACTAAGAAGCAGCCACAAAGTATACGTGCATCCAGTTCTCAGAAAGGTTGAAAAAGATGAAAAGGTTGTGGAGACTAAAAACACCGCAAACCATCCACATTTCAAATTATACCCTCAACATTTTTTCAACAATAACTAATTGTAAATGATATTAATGTAGCAGTTGTTTTTGCCAACATTGATGCGATCTACAGATATCGCGAAGAGTTAACTTCAGTAGAGCTGGTTGGAGTAGATGCCACATATAAAACTGTCCCTCAAGTGCCAGAGGACTTACGATCTTTCCTAACATTTCAAGTACTCTACAAAGATGTTGTAAGCAATACCTTCTGGTTATAATACTGTTAATATACAGTTAAGATATGATTTAATACATTTTATTTTTCATTTAGGCATTTCCAATGGTTTATGCCCTTTTGAGGAGTGAAACACAAGAAACTTACTCTTCATTATTAACAGTAATACGCTATATTTTACCTTTTCGTTATAATAGAATCAGTTTTGTCACTGATTATGAACGAGCTATTATGAATGCTATCAGGGAATTATTTCCAAATAGTCAGTTAGTATGTTGTTGGTTTCATTATACAAAGGTAAATAACATTTTATTATGATAATACCTGCCAGATAAACTAATATGTATTTTAGATATTTTATTTTGGATATAATATTACATATAATTTATTTTTATTATCCAATATTTTCTCTATTTGCTTTAACTGCGCTATTGCCTTGACATGCTTAATCTGGTGTTGAGTAGTTTTGATAATTATTACTTCAAATACTATTACTCATTGTTTATGAATGTATTGTTATAAATCTTAATTGTATGTCTAATAGGTATGCTTAATTAATTGTATGTTAGTCATACTTGCATGATAATAAAATGTTTTTTTAATTGTTAACCCTAAAATATACTAATATTTTAATTTTTTTCAACAGAAAAGCTGATTGTTGATTGTTGTTGAGAATCACATCTTTATAGAATTTCAACAGTGTTAAGATGGCTTTAAAGTAATAATTTGATTTTTTTTTTTTTATACATATAATTAGTCTTTCAATTATGGTTAATTTCTTTAAATTGTATGTACTTTACTAGGTTAGAAATTAAATAAACAAAAAAGAGAGGGAAATACATCTATAATGATAAGAGAATGCGTACAGCAGCTGAATCAAAACGGTGACTTATTGATGTTTTTAAGGAGAACAGGTCACCGTAATGATGGTTATGTTCAACGACAAATCCGGTCATATCCTAATATATTATAAAATATTACAATCTTATTGTTATTATATATTGTAAACTAATTTTATTATTGTTTTTTTTACCTTGTAATATGTACAAATAGTTATTGTCAAATCAAGTTGACTATTATACACATGTTTTTTTTTAATTTTAAGTAATATTTCCTCAGTATTTCAGAAGTAGTTTGACAAGGTAGGCCTAATTTAACTTAAGTTTCTGCTGCAATTTCTTTATTAAAATTCATTATATTTACTAGTCATTAAAATCTTAATGTTGTTCTTCAGCTAAAAATGTTTTCCTCGTTACTAGTATTACCATATACATATTGTAAAATGAAACCTAACTTGCTTTACTATGTGTGGTTAGTTTCTCTGGTCTTTCAGTAAGTCATTTAATTTGAATGAATTTGGTTAATTTTAATTCATTGCGTGCAGTCAATTCTACAGTTCATATATGGATGTTTGTTATGATAATTTCAATAGAGATATTCTAACTAAGTTAAACTGTATTTATTAAAATATTCTAATTATAAGTATTTAATTAAATTGACAATTATACTGGCGTGAGTGTTTACTAAGATCGGACTGAAACACATCTGAATATTGTTCTGTACGGGACTACCTTTTATACACCGTTCCTATGGAATAGTTGACCCGGACACGGTTTCTAATAACCTTAACATTTAAGATCACCTTCAAAAATATCTACATTTGCAGTGCCCAACCCATACATTCACTGGTTGGCTTCGCGATGCGAGTGTCTTCTTAATATAATCTCTAAATCATATTTGACAATATAAATATGTATGTTAATATTTGACATGTGTCTAATGTAACTTCAATTATTGCAAATGCAATAAGGTTTAAGGTAATTAATTTATGTATGTATTCAATGATGTACATTCAATTTTCTTATGAAGGGGGAATTTAAATGACATATTATTGTATATTTTTATCAGAAAATTTCATCTAAACAGTCATTTTTATCATAAATCAATACTTTTTTTGTGTTCTTGAGGGAGAATTTATCCCGAAACCCCTCTCCATATGTAAGCCCAAGGTCGTAACTGGAAAAAAATTTTGGGGGGTCTAACATTATTTAATAAAATTTATATTTCAATAAAGCTTAATAAAAATAAATTCGCTCATAACAGCAATAAGGAATAATAAAGTAATATCCTTAACTTCCAAAAAACATAAAACAAATTAAAGACATAGATTACAACAATCTCTTTTAAACCAGCATGATATAGATCACAAATCAAGTGACATTGTGTTAGTTCATAGATGCGCATTATATAAATTTAAATATATTATTTATATATATATATATAAATAATCTTTTATTTTTCAATATATAATTAACTGATTGATGATACCTTCTTTAAAAATATTAAATCAATTATAATAAAATACTGTTAATGGTCATTGATGAAATGGTACCTATTTCATATATTTTTTTTTATAAATAAATAGCTCACTTTTGTTATTAATTATATATATTTACCTATATTTTAAAATGGTTTCAGATTAAAATTGATACCAATAATGTAACTATTTAAACTTTGTCATTATTGTGAAAAAAATGACTTACTTATGAGGGACTCAAAAACATATTCTGTAATTTAAAATTTTATATTGGTTTAAAAAACCAACTAACTAAATTCTTAAACCTCCATTAGCCTCTCCCTTAGTTAGTGATAAAAACAGCCCTTGATTATGAATTATAGCATTGATTATGGATATTATTTATATCTATCTATAATCAATGATTATAGTTATTATTTTTAACAATAATATATTTACAGCTACATATAAAATATTATGTAAAATGGAATCTTCAATAATCATCTAATTTATTTCAAATAATATAAAATATATACCAAACGTTGATTCCACAATAATTGTATTAACTATTTACATTCAATTCCTGTAGTACTTATTGGGAATAGTTATTTATATGTATGAAAATAATTTAAATATTGCATAAAAGACAAAAGTTTTCTAGTGAGAATTATTTTAAATATACCTGTATTATATTTTTTATTACACTGTAGTTTTAAAGGTAATATCATTAATATATATTAGAAATAGAATTGGGGCTAGATGAAAATCTTGAGGAACACCCGAAGTAACTAATATTTGTTTTGACTGAAATCCTTTATAAACAACAATTTGAGTACGCTGTGAAATGTTAGACTTAATCCATTGAAGAAGAGACCACATACGCCAATATTAATTTAATTTATGTAAAAGAATAGTGTGATTAACTTTATCGAAAGATTTAGCAAAATCAGTATAGATAACGTCTGTTGATGTTAATTTAAATATGTGATTATGTTTGTGTAATTTTTGTTGTTGTTATCATTTTCGTGCGATGTGTAACGGTGCGTTGCGTATCCGTAGCCATCGTCGGCGGTGGTGATAAGCCTCCGTGTGCGACCGGCCGGGTACGTAATCGCGCTGTTATCGTCGCGCGTAAATGCCCGTTATTTCCACGTTTTCAAAGGTTTTCGGTTATGTTTTTGTAAAAGTAAAAGTCATGTTCTCAGTGCCACAAAGTTTCATAAGTTCTCGTGTTTTTTGGTTTAGTGTGGTGGCACTGAGACATTTATCTTCATTTTGTGGTGTCCGGCGGCCCTAGCCTTCGTGGAAAATGTCGCTGGCACCGTCTCTCTCTCTGTTCGTGTTCGTCGTGGTGTGCACACCAATTCTTTCTGCTGCTGTTTCGGGCGTTGGTCTACAGCCATCTTCTTCAAACCACGTTTTTCTGTGTTTTTGTTTTGTATCGTGTCGGCTGTTTGGTAAGTGTCGTTCAGCGCAATTTGTATTGCCTTTCATTAATTGT